TTTTCAGGACACACACACAGCCGAGGGATTCACAACTATATGGAGCATAGGTGGCATATCTCAATGCAAATCACTCCGAATAGAGTAACAGTGACTGGGGGTTTATTCATAACAAAAATGAATAAATAAATAAATAGTCACAGTAATGTGATGGGAAAGCATAAGACTGTACCTCGACATGTATAGTATGAAAAAAAAACAGCGAAGAGTGTCAAAAAGTCCTTCTCCACAGCTTTATAAGACATATTAGCTTGTTATGGAGTGGTGTATGAAGCGCAACGGCGCTCATAAAACATAGATCAAACCTGCTGATTAAAGTTGGCCATCACTGCTCCTCTCTAGCCGAACACTCCGACGTGTTACCCTGCAGTGTTTCCAGGAAAGATGCAGCGTCCTCCACCGATGCGAAATGCTTTTTCCCCCCGTCCTTGGTTGTGATCCGTAACCTCGCTGGATATAGGAATGACGGTCTCAAGCCGCGTTGATAAAGTGCGGACATCACCTCCCGGTACGCCGCGCGTTGCTCCACGATCTCTGGGCAATAGTCTTCAAAGATAGCAACGGGCTTTCCCTGGAAAAACAGCTTTCCCCGCCGCTTCCGGGCCTCCTGAATGATCAGCTCTTTCGTCCTGAAATGATGGATGCGGGCTATTACCGCTCTTGGTCTTGACCCGGGACTTGGCTTGGCAGTCAGGGCTCTGTGTGCTCGGTCCAGCTCCGGAGCTGTAGTGAGGACTTCGTCACCCAGAAGCTCCACCAGCAGTCTCGAAAAAAAGTCTGTGGGACGTGCACCCTCAATCGACTCCGGTAGGCCAGTTATCCTTATGTTATTGCGGCGGCTGCGTGACTCAAGGTCTATAGCTTTAGCCTTTAGCTTGTTGTAGCTTCCCTCCATTGCTGTGCACTTAGCCTCCAACTCTTCCATTTTGTCGCTGAGCTGATTCGCGTTAGCCTCAAGGGAGGTCAGGCGGTTACCGTGGTCTGTGACTGTCTCCTGGACAAAGTCTAATTTCGCTTCCAGAGAAGTCATAGCCGACTTAAATTCCTTGGAAAGGGCGTCTCTGTGATCCTCCAGTATCTTAACCAAGAACGCCATGCTAGCTACGGCAGTAGCAGCTGCCTCGTCTCTCTTCTCCTTTTTGCTTGTTTTCGAAGCCATTTAAACGAAAAGTAGATAGTTATACGTACAATAAATAAAACAATTAAACAAAAATCCCCGCGTGGTTTACAGGTAAGAGGTTTAAAAGTGAGTTGTATGTTAAAAGTAGTGGGAGCTGGAGAAACACGCGTCTACTCCATTCCTCGTCGCCGGAAGTTCCCAACTTTTAATATTTTGACATGGAAATGACTTTTTAATATTGACAAACAACATATATGTAATTCATGGCACAATTCAAACGGGATTAAAAGATAAGTTTTCTCTCTCCATTGACTTCAATGTATTATTTTTTCGGAATAAGGTCCCATGATGCGGAAGTAAGTGGGCATGACTTCGCCACTCTATGGAATTACTGTGCCTGACCTGAACCTAGGACCTATGGGGTTTTGTCAAGAGGAAGATGAGAGACACAAGACCCAACAACGCAGACGAGCTGAAGGCCGCTATTGAAGCAACCTGGGCTTCCATCACACCTCAGCTGAGCCCAAGGCTGATGGAGGCCCGACAAATACTGAGTGCATACACATGAACATACTTTTCAGAAGGCCGGCATTTCTGTATTTAAAATCCTTTTTTTTATTGGTCTGATAATATTAAAATGTTATGAGAAATAGAATTGTTGGTTTTCATTAGCTGTAATCCGTAATCATCAAAATTAAAAGAAAGAAACATTAGAAATAATTATTTTTGTGAAATGAATCTATATAATATATGAGTTTAACTTTTTATAGAAATTAATACACTTTTCCAGGATATTCTAATTAATTGAGATGCCCTGGTTTTTGGAAAATAGTTGAATATTAACAGTTATTCGAAGCTTTGGTAAATAAAAAATCAGACATCCAAAGCATTGACTTAAAAGTAGTTTTTACTATTCCCAAGTTAAATTCACTATCACAGTATAATATACTTACAGTCACCAACAGTAACAGGTTCAGGTTTTTGGCGATTAAGGAAACAAGACAAACTAAACTTGCAATAGCACGCCTAGGTACCAAATGCCCCAAAATCCCAAATCTTACCCCGAAGTCAGTACCAATTTAAAAAAAGACGAACAAGCCCTTATTTTGTCCTAACCTTGCTTCCATGCATGACAAAAATGTCAAAGGTCGCAAAGGATGCCGGTAAATTAAAGTATGGATTGTAAAAAAAGTAAACAAGTACAAAAAAACTCAAGATAAAGCCAAAGAAAGACCAAAACGGGTGAAAGGGGCTTTTATTCCCAGGGACAGGGCCGGCCCGCCGCACTGGCGTTATAGATTTTCGCCTAGGGCGCTGAACTGTAGAGGGAGCGCAGGTGTGCACGCCAGATTTCTTTTTTTATATATGTATATATGTTTATTTTTTTAGGCACCGCCCAGATTATTATTTTTGTAGGAGCTCCTCAGATCAGGATTCATATGTTTTTTTTGAGAATATGAAAAATAAAAACGTAGGGGCGCCCCAAACACTGCACCACCCCTCTCTATGTTTTCTTTGGTTCTGTCCATTTGTGTGCTCTTTTTTACACCAATTGCACTGTGTGGTTTTTCTTGTATTCATTATATATATTTATTATTATTAAAGCTATCTATTTTGTTCCATCTGTAGTTTACAAATGGTAATGGGCACAAAATAAGTCTGCTAAATCATTAACTAGCTAGGTTATCACTTCAAAAAAATTATTTTAAATATTTGGGCACAGGAAATTATGTCAGCTAGTGCCTGTTGAGTTTATTAGGATGGTGGGTAGTTCATACACACGTTCACACCTGGAAGCTTCCCAGCACAGGACCACCGTTTTCTAGTTAATTATTGCACATTACAATAGCACTTCTATTACTAATAATGTACATGTTAATGTAACACACACACACACACACACACACACACACACACACACACACACACACACACACACACACACACACACACACACACGGTGTCTAACTGTATCCATGCATGTTTGACTGTGCATGCAGGTGAAAACGTATTGCTACCTATCCCAAGTCAGCCTGCTGCTACACAATCTGCAGGAGGGACATTGATCCCTAGTACCACAACACCGTCTGCAGCACGTGAGTCCACAAAGGCAGCAGCTGTTGACCCTGCCGACTGGCCATCCATGTCTGATAAGGTGTGAGCAGAGGACCCTATCAGGCAAAACCACACTTCATTTTTCCAAAAAGACAGGATGGGAGAAGCTGCCACCACCAATACTTTTATAGAAAACTGGTAAATGGGGAAAGAATCAAGAGAAGCTGGCTATTGCACTCACAGAAAAACGACAGCCTTTACTGTTTTTGCTGCAAGCTGTTCTCCCAGAAGGAATACAAATTAATCAGTGCAGGACTAAATGACTGGAAAAATTGCCACCATTTACTGAAAACACACGAGAACACTCCAGAACATACTAAACACATGTCATCATGGAAAGAGTTAGAGTTTCGATTACAAAAGGGGCAAACTATTGATAGGACTGAGATGGCGCTTACAGACATAGAAAGGAAGAGATGGCGTGAGGTGGTAACAAGGTTGGTCGCCATCATTCAATCATTAGCTGAGAGAAACATGGGGCTCAGGGGAACATGTGACACACTCAACAATGACAACTTCCTTAAAGAAGTGGAGCTGATGGCAATGTTTGACCCTGTAATGAAAGAACATGTTGCTAAAGTCAAAGGGGTGCAAGCCATACCACATATCTCGGAAAAAATATTCAAAATGAACTCATTGAATGTATCGGTGAGAGAATCAGTGCCCACATGATTGAAGAAATTAAGAAGGCTAAATATTATACCATCATTCTGGACTGCACACCTGACATTAGCCACACAGAGCAGTTATCAGTCATCTTAAGGATTGTTACAATGGAGGAGATGCCACAAGTTAAGGAACACTTCATGGGGTTCCTTGTCGCTGAGGAATCAACTGGCGAGAGTTTGTCATCCCTCATCCTGGACAGGCTCCAAGAACTGAACATCCCCTTTGAGGACTGTAGGGGACAGTCTTATGACAATGGTGCCAATATGCGAGGGAAAAACAAAGGAGTTCAGGCCAGGTTACTTGAACTAAACCCGAGGGCACTATTCGGCGCACACACTCTCAATCTGGTGTTAGCTGATGCAGCGAAAAGCTCCCTAGATGCCACTGGATACTTTGGCTACCTCCAAAAGCTTTTTACATTGTTTTCAGCATCCACAAAGCGCTGGGACATTTTGAAGAGCCATGTCACCACTACCTTGAAATCATGGTCTGAAACCAGGTGGGAGAGCCGGGTCAACAGTGTGGAAGCTGTGCGATATCAGGCTGTACATGTTCGAGATGCACTTTTGGAGGTGAGGGACAAGGCCACTGACATGAAGATCAAAATAGAGGCACAGTCTTTGGCTGAGGAACTGGGGTCCTACCGCTTCTCCATTTGCACTGTGGTGTGGTACGACATCCTCAGTAAAGTCAAACAGGTCAGTAAGGTCATGCAGTCTGTGTCAA